ATTGCTAAGTTTCATTGAAATCAGGCATATCTTTGTACTTAATGCACATTAACCCCCTAGGTTCCAGTTCGTGTCATGAAAACTTTAATTAATCTTTGTTTATTTTCTTAACTGGAACCCAAAAGGTCAAAAACAATTTGTTGGGCAATATTTTTACAATTCATTCAATAATAAATCTTGGCATTCTGGATTTAGCTCATAAACTGAAGAATTTAACTTTATGGAGATAGATATCATTCTTACTTATCGTCTAGACTTTTTTCTCTTCACTGATTTATGTTTTGATAGTAATATGTCAGATTCAGTTTTATTAGGTATTTGCATGTTGTTTTTTACTGAAAGCATTTAAGTTTTTAGTGCATGCAGCAAAAATGACAGAAGAAAAATGACAGTAATTATACCTAGCTTTAAAATTGCAACTTATCTTTGTACATCAAAGAGCCATCCTTTCAGAGGTTGTAAATGAGCTGCATTAATTTGTTGTTATGAGGGATGCAATGGCATTTGTAGGAAAGGTGGCGAAGACTGGTACATAATTACTGTTTTACATGCAATGCAACAAAATCTGCCAGATTAGATATTAGATACTAGATCAAATTCAGATGGAAGCCAAATTAGGTAAATGTACACCAAGGGGTTTATGTTATAGACTCGGAAATTGGACTGCACAAAGCTACTTACATGCAAACTCAAAAAAAGGCATCCGTGCTAGTAGTTGCTGGCACAAAACTAATTTGCAAATAAAGAAATTTATATTTAGTGACTTAGTTAATCCAGTTTAACCTGGTAGATTAGGTTGAACTCTTATACTTGGTCAAATTATTTTCAACAACACAGATGCTTGGAGTTTAAATTGAAATCAAAATAAAGGATACTGTATTTAAAATTCTCCCTCCCTAATTTCACACATTTATTTTGTCAATATGAAAAAAAATATCATTTGATAATAAATGTTTTTCAGTCACACAAGTACATGTATATATACTCTCCTTGCCTGTCTATTAGTTCCACAAACTAAGTATACCTATTTATACCCGTCATCTTCCTTTCAAGGACCTTTCGTTTAGTCTTCTGGTCCAGTTCTGCTAATCTCCCTTGTGTGCTGTTCGTCATCTTTCTACAAAGGGATTTTCATCTTATAAAAGACTGAGCAGGCCTCCCATGGAGTTTTAACGAGATCTGACCTCCATATTTTTTCAGTGGTGTGGTAACAGCAGGCACTTCGTACATCATTTCTTTGACAGCATCTTTACATATCATGTCAGTATTTGTTTACCAATTTTCTTTTCAATGATTTTTTAAAGGGGACCATAAAAAGATATAACTCCCTGTAGGTAAGATTAAGGTGACTATAGCCCATCGTCGCAAACCACAGGTTTTGAGTCCGCAAGATGATGGAGAGAATCGACGTGAATCACCCGTGGGTTACCGACGATGACTATAGCCAGGATTTGAAATTCTTTTTTTTAAGAAATGCTGTACTTTAATTCTGTTTTGTCTTTTTCAAAATTTTGAATGATTGAGTTTTAGAATTGAGTTCTTAAAATTTCCTTCGTCAAATTTTTTTGTATGCCATCATTATGAAATGTGTTATTAAATCAGGAAAAAGAAAAAAAATGTTTACAATGTGTTTGATATATGAGATTTTATTTTTAGGCAATATCCTCTATAATCAGTTAAGTTTATAGAAGACAACAATTAAATTAACTTCCATATGTATCCCCTTATTGAATGACAATCTGACCACGAATAGAGTGGTTTATTGGTCTCTTTGTACCCAATGGCTGAGAACCGGAGAGATAAGATTTATTTGAACTGACATAAGTAAAAGTCTACATCTAATTAAGCACTGAGCCAGATAAATATTGTTGGCAGGTAGTCTAAATGATCAATTTCATGCTGAAGTGGTCAAGTGGGAAACTGACACACTTTATGAATGAACTGATGACCAGACAGACTGACCAGTGGACCAGATGTGAAATATTCGACATAATCACCAGGTGTCCCTCTCAGCAGGAGGGGGAGATAACTCTGATTTTATCTTCTCATTAGGTTATACTGTTGATAAATAATGCATTAGTTGGTAGTAATTTACCTACTGAGGATATCTTGTTTCACTTTTCCTACTCACTACAGAGAAAATTTTACATGCATCATGTTTTTTTGTTCCCTGCTTTTGCAAAAGTGAGGGGACATAAAATATCATTCGTCTGTCCGTCAGTCAATCTAGCTGTCCATCTGTCACAAAAACTTTAACCTTGGTCATAACTTTTGAATGAGAAGAGATAGGACTTTTATATATTTCACCTGCATTAACACTGAGACTATAAAAGCAAGGAGACCACAATTCTTTGAATTTGCTTGTTCGTATTGAGAATTTGCATCATTTAATTGATTTTTTGTTCTGATCAGATGTTTCTGAGAGGGCCCATGTATTGGTATAGCTTCAATGTGTCTTAATCACAAACCATTCAACTATATTCAGATTGTTTAAAAATTTAAAGCAGAAGAGATTTATTTTCTTGAAATATTGAATGTGCACTGGTTTTTCCCCCTTAATCTAAAAAGATTCAATAGTCTTGTATATGACACATTCCACTGCAGGATGAAAACTAATGATTTATGTCATTTCTTTACACAGCAATAGGAAATGCTTTCCTATTGCTAATCCTACATTCTCTCAAATTGTGTTTGTAAAAGCTTTCCACATTCTAAATTATCTGACTATATCTCATGTATATTACATAGGTGATAAGTCAGTTCTCATTGTTTGGACCTAATAAAACATCTTTCTGAAAGGGAGTTTATTTTCTTCGGCCACTCAAATTTGGTTAATGTATTCAAAGCAGAGCATTAGAATGGATGACACATTTTTCCTTCTTTAATTTATATGGACAGGTATACCCCCTTTATCAGAGATGTTGAAGAGGCCACTTCATTTTAATTCAGTTTTGTAATGTTTGAGAGATTGTATGTGCAAAATATATCATTCACACTGTTGGCAATGTTTTCTGAAATGGATCCTATTAAAGCACAGTAATTTATAAGAAAACAGGGTACTTGAATGTTGAGGGTCAGGCTTGTTAGCATGCTATTGTGGACAAAGTGTATGGAAAAAGAATCATAATGGGTCATTATAGCTGGTCATCAAATGGATAATCTGGTGTCATGGTCCTTATTTCTTTTAGAGAAAAAAACTTGAGGAGCTAAGTTGTCTCTCTCTTCTTTCTCTTAGACCTAAATTTCCACTCTTTTACATTTTTGGCTAACTTTAATTAGGGTGACAATCCACCCTTCCTCTTTTTTACTCCTTGAACTGAGATCTTGAGGGGTGGATCCAGGACATCTGTCAACCTTTCTTGAATTTGAAGTTACACTGCTATCAATACATTGTGATTTTCCTGAAAGAAAAGAAAAATGAGTTGAAATAGGCATAAATAAAAATAAGATAATGCACATATCGATCATATTACCATAAATGGCATTGATTAATGGTCTTTGTAGTCAAACAATATTACTTGGTTAAAATTCTAGCTTATATTCTTAAAGACAAGACAGATTTATAATTTTCATTCAAGGATTTATCAGTGTCAGAAAATTTATATTAAATATCCAATATACAAGTAATTGAATGTACATGTCATAAATTTTTTTTTGGCAAGAAATAAATTATGAATATGTTGGCAGCAATTAGAGTTATCTCCCTTTTCTAGGAGTATCTGTTGTCTGTTCAGTCATAAAAATGTGGTTTACACATGTATAACCTTTGATAAGTAGCTCAGTCTGCTTCCCTTGCTGCTACTGAGCCACCAGAGTGACATTGCTTGGCAGCTGAACACTGTATCACTGTAAATATTAATTTTAAAATGGTTATTAATCAGCAAAATTTTGTTTTGGTTGATCTTAAAATTTCACCAATCTATCAGCAGTGAGTCAATACAGAAGCATTTAACAAGTTAATTGACTGCTGTTTTAAGAGGTGCAACACTGCAGTTTAATCAAACTTCTGTACCTTAATTGTCTACAGCTTGCCTAAACAATTTTTTTTCTTTTGGTTCAGTTTTGTGGTTTTGAGGTAAATGAGGAGGATTCTGTTAAGACTTTAAGGTATATCTGCTAATTAAGTGTGGAGTAAGGTTCTGGGGGTCGTTTACTCGCAATACTACAGAGAATTTACATAATTTTTTACTTAGGAATGCCAGCCAGATCTTGCCCAGCAGGGGGTGAGAGATGCTAATAGAATCTTGTGTGTCTGTCTGGGAGGGGGTGGGGGAATTCTAGAAAACTACAATCAGCTTAAATTAATATCCTTTAAATATTGTGATGATTTTATGCATTTATTACAACCTATCATCAACATTTTAAAAATGCTGCACTATTTTTGTCAATTAATCCAATGACTTTTTATTGAGCAGTCAAATTTATCTCCCTTGAATGGCCTCTAGGATAAAAAGTTGCATCTTCAGCTCCAAGTTGATCTAAAGACTTTGATTGGTTACATCTTGAGCTACCCTCTCCAGGTCATTATCAGCTCTGTACATACCATCTGAATGAAAATATTCTTCTTTAGAGAGGCCTACAACAGTTTTCTGCAGTTGTAAAATTCCTTGGCAAAAGATTGTGTTTGTGGTACACTCAAGGTTCTGTATTACAAAAAAAAAATAAGGGAGGAGAATTTTAGATGACATTCTTATTCAAAGGGAGGTAGCATTAATATTTTATTTGAGGAAGAGGAGCTTATTTTTGTATAGGTGAGTTTTTGCCAAAGTTTAATGTGAAGGGTCTGATTAGCTGAGAGTGAGGCTATGTCAATTAGAGGATTTCTAATGAATGATTTGTGGGGCCACTAGACAGTCGAGACACCTAGACAAGATCAGCATCTCCTGATAAAGATCAGAGTCAGCTGCAATGCAAACATCTCTGGCAGAGTTCACCCCCTGGTGAGCCCCTCCCATATGGTCTTGGTTAATCAGAGGCTCTGCAGACTTCGCCCCTTCTGTCACAGATTCCTAAACATTCAGACGAACAAGAAGATCTGTCAAAAATATTGGGAATTTCTTTTTGTAAACTTTCGAGTTCCTTTCCCTCAAAATTTTTGTTTTTCTTCAGATTTGGATTGGAGGATAATTAAGTAGTTTCATGTGTTTTGGAGTAAATCACTGTGTTACTGCTTTATAGTTTGTGTAAGCACTAAAAAACTTGGTAAGTGTTAAAAACTTTTTAGTGAGAAATTTCCAAGGACTACCATAATTATGGAGATGATTTTACCATGTACCCTTTTAAAACTTCTGTGATTTCATCCTCTTTCTTGATTGCAAAACCTGATACATGTATGTTCTTGAAGTTTCATCATATTTTGTTCATAGATTCCAGAGGCAATTGGGAAGGGCTAATTGTGCTTAAATCAATTCATTTTTTATACAATTTTTGCAAGAATCTTAGAATATAAAAGTACAAATTGTTGTTTTGGAAGCATGCTAATTGTAGTGTAATGATCAATCCTTCTGACCTTGAATGGATTTTACAGACAATCTTGAATAGCTTCTGCAGGCATAATGGTCTATGTAATCTGTCATTCCAGCAAAGGTCTAGCTGTTAGGATGTTGTGGTCATGAAGCATTTTCAAAATAAGAGGAAATTATGGCTAATTAACAGCTGAAATCAAATAAACCCACAATTTTTAAGGAGCATTACTCATTTCTCCATTTCAATCACCATGATAAAAACTGCACCACTGAGAGATTGCAAAGTTTTTTAGCTTCAGATTCTGTCTCCATGGTTCCTTGAAGTAAAAATAAGAGAATTCCAGTGAAATCTGTTTGCTCTTTAAACATTTTTATGTCTTGCGATGGGTGTTAACAGAAAATTTTCTGAAGGTTTTGAGATCACCTTGAGCTGCGGTATAGAGCTATAGGGTGGAAGAGGAGACGGCATTGTTATAAGAGAGCAGGTTTTTGTAGTGTTCTTGAGTGATAAGAAGCAGATAGTGAAGTAGGATAGAGATAGGGAGAGAGAGAGAGAAAAAAAATTGATGGAGTGCCAGCCATTCACTCCAGCATACTTCCAGGGCACACAAGTGCCTTATACAGTATATATTTTGGAGCCAATCAAATTTTATCTTTTTTTCTCATCAGTGGCTATATAGTCTTATTGGCAAATTCTTAAAAAAAATTGCTTACACGTTAAGCCTGATTTTTATGTGGCATTCCACAGCGTTGGATCTGCGATTTGTCTGTCTGTATTATCTATGACATCATTCAGACGAGATGAGATGTGAATTATATACGCAGGGATCACTCTGGATTTTAATGTTGATGGGCCAATGGCCCATCAACATTAAAATCCATGGGCCATACGCCGGGGGTATGGGGGCCGCGTTAGGCCCCCATTGGGGTCCAGGGGCAACGCCCCGGTAGGGGGTCCAGGGGGGCGGAGCCCCCCGGGAGAAATTGATTTTCCATGCTATTTTGTGATGAATTTCAAGTAAATATGATGGGTCTTTGAGGGTTTTTTAATGCCATTTCTGACACAACAAATTTAATTTTTTTTTAAATAAAATCAATAATATTATAAATATAAAAGATTTTTTTTTAATTTCATCTCAGTACTGAAAAATACATTGGAGAGTTAATTCCTCGCCCCTTGGATTTTATAGATTTAGTTCTCGAAGGTTGTTGAGAGAGAGCAAACTTACATGACTGAATTTACCTTGGGCAGTTGCAGATTAAATTTGGTTCAGATGGTAGGGACTGGTTTTGTATGCAAAGAACTCGGAGCAAAATACGCAAAAAACTTAAATGAGAAAATTTTTATTCGTTTGCAAAACATTTTAGTCCCATCTGATCTACATGTAATTCCAACCACGGATGCAAAGTTAGCCACTTGGACTGGAAATGGCGACCATCGTTGACGCTGACATTAGGAGTCAACGTCTTGGACTGTTTTTCTTAATCAGAGACCTCTGCCGAATCTGGGAATTAAAAAGTTTCCGTCGTTTTATCTGTAAAACAAACGAAAGCTTTCGTTGTTTTGGGTCAGTTGGCCCAATACCAACCTTCGCTTTGGAGGCATTTCGGGCAAGTGTCTGGATACACAATGAGTATAACTTGTACTTGTTTTGTTTCGAAATAAATAATCAAAGTTTTAAGAAATATTATTAGAAAATATTACTTACTGGAGTATTACTTTCATATGTTTATTATTTAAATCATTAAATATAATTTTAATAAATATAATTGACTCAGTATTCGGTAAAAAAAATTCCTAGTAGCGTAATCTAAACGAAGGAAATATTCCATGTACAACTCCGATTTTAGTCTTGATCAACCAGATGCTCTGCTGGTGTAGAGAACATTCGCGACTAAGAGTCTGATTTAACGAAGTAACAGTATGCTCGGATACGTCATGAATACAATCGGTCAGCTTAAAAACGGTCCTAAAATGCACCAAGATAAGAGTTTTGACCCGCAGTTTTGCATCTTATAGCGCCATATCTGTAAGACATGCGCCAGACTGACCCCTTTCTAATTTTTTAGTGCGCCATTTACACATATTGAGCGCCAATGGCGCAAAGGCGCAGCCCAAAGTGATCCCTGTATACGTAATAAACTTTTATATTAAAAAGATATCATATTTCCTTCAGTAAGGGATACGGCAGGAGGTATCGAAAATCGGATCGTACATCAATATTCGGATAATTTAGGGTTGCTTACTCTTATTTATACTTATTGGTATTTGGATGCGTGGATCATGCACATTTTCAAACTGGCTCAAGTTAACCTATGTACATATTTACTTCTTGAATGAGCTTATGACAGATTTATGGAAAACTTAAAAAAGTTTATGATATTAATCTTGTCACAAGGTTTATAACAGTGTATTCATTATATCTTGTTGTTGGAGAGCCATTATTAGTCAAAGTCCTGTATGGCATTATTGTGGTGTGACATGTAACATGTCTTGCTTTCATGTATGTTTGTATGTAATCTTTTTGTGGTTAGGGTTGGTAGCTCTGACCAGAAAATGACCCACGCTTTGGGGCCTCTTCAGTATGTTAAAGCTCAAATGTGACCTACAGTTTAGACATAAGATGGGGGAAAACCCCATCCTTTGGTTTATACTAAGACAAACACTGGCCATTAGTTGATGTAAACATGAACTCTGATGATTGTTTCTTCCTTTCATCTTTCCATCTTTTTAATAAGGACCAAATTACAATAAAGTTAAGAAATTTAGAATAGTAAAACTTAAGCTTCTTTGACATGAGGCCATTCTATAGTTTCTGGTGTGTATTTTTTTTTTGAAGTTATCCAAGACTTAATGACTTTAAAACATCAGATTAGTATCCTAAATAATACACTTATGAAAAAGCAATTAAACTTGTTTAATGGATGCTTGAAGGATCAAATTTTTTAACAGTAATGGCATAGTGAAAGATTTCTAAGCATTTATGCTAGGAAACATTTCTGGAATGTCTTATCTTGAATTACACCATTATAGACACACTGGTGCATTATGTCTCTTCTGGGCTCCATTAATTTGCTGCTTCATCCACATCTTAATAGGAGCTTGTCATTTGTTGGTAAACACACAATAAATGTTAGCTTCTGTTGTCTTTGATATACTTCTGGTAAACCCTGACAAAACATGTTGTTTTGGATATACATTATTTTCCTAAATGGGAATTGAATTCCATTGCAATTATTTGAACTTGGAGTGAAAGGAACAAGATTGTTTTTTCAAAAGACAGCTTGGGGATTTCTATTATACTGTGACAAAAAGGGACTGCAAATTTACATTGTTCATGTATAATTATAATGCCAATATAGACCAATTGCAAATTGAGTCAGATTTTCAAGAAAAATGTCTGATGCAGAAAATCCTCAGTTCAATTATTTGTTTAAAAAATGGAAGGATGTTAACTTCTTCATGAATTCTTAAAATATTTCCTCTTCTTTTGAAACTGCCTTGACATATTAAAAATCAAATGGACAGAACACATATAAATTTGATAAAACATCAATTAACCTAAAAGTCTTGTGTGTAAAGGAAAACTCAAAAATCTCCATATTCGGCTTTGAACAAAGAGACCTGCTATCTCAAAAATGTCAGAGATCAAGACAGTTTCCAAAGAAACCTATCCTGTATTTACAAACTTTGGGCCTTGTTGAGAACTGTTGAGTGGTATGATTCACACTTGATGCTTCCAGTGGGATGGGGACAGGTGTACCGAAGCCTTCAGCTGGAACCAATACAGCTGCATGGATTCAGCAGGCTACAGTCTATGTTTTGTATACATAAAGACACACATACACATCGCATCAACATATAGAAAAGGAAATGGAGTTATTAATTGAATATCTTTGATGCAGTTGATATGTTATCATAACTTACACTATATTTTTCTTTGTTGACATGTTCTGGATTCCTGTCCTTGATGCCTAAATTGTTAGAGCTTTTTGTGTGTGGGAGTGAGGGTGTGTAAAGCTCACCTGAACCAGCAGCTGAAGTTAGTTTTCTGAATACAGTTTGTTTTTCAGTTTGTCACTTACTTTCCTTTCAAATACATTTGACTTTCGATATTCAGAACTATGGTTCCAGTTTTAGCCAAATTTGCTACAAACCATCCTTCCAAAAAAGGATTTAAATTATTTCCAATCAAGGATCATACTCCAGGGAGGAGAGGATTATGAAGAAAAAGGAAAGACTGATTTGGTTATTTAAAAATCTTCCTCTGCAGAAGAAATGGGCCTAGCAGAAGAAATGGGCCTGTATATGAAAGCGTGATTAAATGTATACTGTGTCTTTGGGTAATATTATGATATTGGGGTTTCTGAATTTAGCCACAGGTATTTACATAAGAATTGCCTACAAAATGGTAACATTTAGATAATATGCAAACATCTTCTTGCAGATCATGATCGAAACATTGGTTCAGAGTTTTAAAAGAATCCGAAGTAGTGCAAGTCTCCATTAATCATAGAAATTGACATGCAAGCATCCAAGTGTACACTTGGAAGATTCATATCTTAAATCTCAGTACATGCATATGAACCTTCAGCTTTTGTATGTATATATAAATTGATTATTGAAATCATACACTCTGGAATCATCATTGTTTGTGGGAGATTTTGTGGGTCGACCCTTATACTCATGAATTTACATCCCCATGGACAAATCCTTGATAACTTTGACAAATTATTGGTTGGTTGAATTTTCTCTATAAACAAGTTACCCACAAATGAAATTGCTTCCAAATGTTATAAAATTTGGATATCTAAGAATGTTGAACCCCATTAAAATGATTCAGCAATACATGTAATTAAAAAAAATATTTACCTTACAATATGCACACTCATTCCAATGAAATAATGCAAATAAAAAATGGAATATTTGAAATAAAAATATTTTCTTTTTTTCAGGGCTTTCATTTTCGTAGGGACTAATCCACACATATCATCATGAGCACATTAGAAGAGAGACGCGAGGCCCGTCGTCGCAGGCGGCAACAGGAGGAAGCTGGGTAAGATGTCTATTTTTAGCTTTTACTTTAGTAATGACCCCCCCCCTTTTTTTTCCCCTGGAAGATTAGATATTTTTACCTTAAAATAAAAAAGAGCTAAACTGTTTGACCTAATTAGAATCTGAATAGTTTTCTGTGATTTTTGAAAAGTTTTGGAGTGATTTCCCTGAAAACAAAACTAAAAGCATGAAACCTCATTGCGGCATGTTTTTGATTTTGCAGCAAAATTAATTCTAATTAACTGTTCGGGTAGTGCTACAAGTAGAAAACCCTTGATAGAAAACAAAAATAGATAGTATTCTTTTGTTGTCAGTCTTCTCTAATTTTTGAATCAAATATCATAACTCATTCACCAAAGAAATGAAATAAGGATAACGGTGTGAGAATCACTTATAGATACACAAAATCATCAATCATTCTGACAAGTTACTTAACAAACCATAAGAGTACAGACAACTTTTTATGGTGTTTGTAGGGCAGTGATTCATGATCTACTCCTGTTAACCACAGTTTTCTCATTTCCTGCCCTTGGAATTTATTTTTGTTTAAACTTTCTTGCAATATGATCTAAGACACCCAAAGGAAAATACTTTTAAATTTGCTCTTCCTCTTTGAACTGAAGTCCTTTGAATGACTTGTACAATCAGCATTGTATATATAAAGATGATTGATGTCGAGAGAATTACCTTTCATCTCCATCTGTTTCCTAGCTGGTTCCCTCATCACTCTGTTGTCTGGTCTTGGAAACCAATGGACATAAGCACCACTATGTATACAGTAGTTTTCACATTCAAACTCAATCCATGTCTGCAATATATGCAAGCAAAGTCTTAACTCGATTGCACAATAATGATTGCATAAAAATTCTACCTGGTACATAAAACATGCTTTATTTTATTACCAAGTACCCATTAATGGGATTACATTTGTCGTAGGTAATGAAGAACATGCATAAGTTTTGCTGACATTATGGATGTCACATGCAGTAAAGCACCAAATTATTCTTACCAGTACTACTGTTAACAATTCTTGCGACAATGTTTTGGGCAATGGGCATCTTCTGTGGAATTCGGTTGCTTTGACAACCCTTGTGTTTTCTGGTTGTATCATGGAAATCTCTTATGACATATATGATTTCTGCATGTGCACGAGAGGCTACTTTGGGATTCTATCTTAATTTATTTTGGGTAGTAAATAAGCATATTTCTTGGAACATTTCGCAGATTTGGGTCAAATTTCAGTCACATATGCAAGTTTTAACTTTAAAATGCAAAATATAGGGGGAAAAAATCATAATTTATTTCAGTTTTATATTACTCTTCCGAAAATGCCCTGTCTGCAAGCCCCATAACAAGCATCACAATTAATTATTTTTGTATACTCGTACAATAATTCATTTGTAATATATCCTACGATTCACCATTTTCTCTTGAGTCGCATTTCTTTCTTGGACTGCACTCACACAAGGTAAAAAATTTATTTTCTAATACATATTAAACATTTAATGCTTCAATTTGATGACTTTGAACAACAATATGAAAGCTAACTTGTAATTGAAATCTGCACGTTCATCAAAGCACATTTCGTTTCACAAATTATGATGATAATTCTTGTTGGATGATAATCTTTAACATGTTTTAAAATGTTCTACAATTTGCACACTTAAATAGCATAAATTCAAAACTAAGATTAAGTTTACTAGATTATGACCATTTAAAAGCAATCATCTTTAAGTCATATCATAGTTTATCAATGATTGCAGAACAACTTTTGGAAATAGTTACCAATGTGCATATTTTATTTGTTCTTTTTCATACTTAAAAAATGTACAAATTGATAACAAGAACAAGCCTGATAACCATGATAACTGTAACATCAATCTCCCAACTTATTCGCTAAAGAGCTTGATCAGTGTACAATCAATTTTTTTAAGTGAGGCATGCTACTCACTGATAAGTTGATGTTACAGGGATTTCAACAACCTCATTTAATTGGCATTTTTTTTAAATCCCATATTAGTTATAATGAATATGATAGCCAAAAATTAACCTATCAAGTGGATCATATTCTGGCTTTCTTGTTTCATACCATTTGTTAGGCCTTTGTTTTTACACTGAATTTGATCATGAAAAGTCCACCAAATCAATACTGTAGATCACTAAATTTTTCTTATTTTCCAGAGTCATTGAATACAAAATTTTATTCTGGTTATTGCTCTATATAATCTTAAGGAATACTATTATGCACTTGTAAAAAGTGATTTACAGTACATAGGCCTACGGCTTGTGTGAAAAGTCAACAGGGGATGCTCACTCCTCCTAGGCACCTGATCCCACCTCTGAAATTTCCAGGGGTCCATGTTTTATATGCTATCTTTGCAGCCTAAGTGTAATTTACTCTCACCTGCACACAGGTGCACTTTCTGTGATTGGTAATTTTGATAGATTTTTACTTTTTGAGGGGTGACATGTTATTAGATGTCAACAATATCAAGAATTTTATGATTTGATACATAATATATTCTGGGCTTGAAAATATTTTATCATACATGAACCAGGGTATTTACATTTGCCAGTGTTTCATCAGTACATATGGACATGTAATAAGCATGGTACTGAAATTGAGAGATGGATATATGTTTTGTTTACATTAACTACAAATGCATAAATAATCGATAATACTCTCATACATTTAAGATGTGTTAAATTTTACTTGCTCAGTGAAATCTTCAAGTACTATGAAAGTATAAAGTGATACATTTTGTCGGCAATATATCATTTATTATTAAAAAATATATAAAAAACAGCTAGGATATCTAAATGCAATGAAATATTCAGGGAAAAAAATCTGTTATTTTGTCGGATCTCAGCAGCCATTGGTAATGCGTCAGTGCCTGCAGTGAGCTCCCTGAGCTTTATATAGACATGAAGATGTGTATTGCTGCTGTGCGTACACCCACATACAAACTATATACTCTTCTCCATAGTTCTCTAAGAGAGGCAAAGATTGCTTTAACACACCTAGAAAATCTTCTCAAAACGCATTGAAGATCTCCTTCAAATTGGAAATATGAATGGAAAAAAATGCTTATTGTAGAAGATGTTACAGTACAGTAAAGTATTCTTACAACAAACACTGTTTACTAGTGAATTCATATTTACAGAAATTATGTAGTTTTAAACATGATATATACATTTGCAAATTTTTCATTTTATTACATTAATTGACTAAATTGAGCATGAGGCATCTATTATATATTATATAAATACAGATTCATAGAATGATGACTTATTTAATTAATTTAAGTCATAAACGGTCAATGCAATTTCATGTTGATGTCATAAATAGGTGACGTAAAGGGGGTTATGGATTTGATTACGTGACTAACCTGTTAATTAAGATACAATCCGTCATGTTTGTAAATGATACCTTAATTATTTCTTTAACCAAAACAAGTTGTGTTTATTGACTCAAAATTACTTGTTCTTGGCACTTTGCTTTAAAGCAAGTTTCATCCTAACATGTTGTTTGAATTATTATTGATTTTCACTGTGACAGTGAAATTTGAGATAATTGACATATGCAAAAAATTATGTTGTCAGAAGTTCAGAAGCAGAAGGTAATCTTTGATATACAATAATGATATACATAGTAGCTGATGTAATGAAGATGCCATTGCCCAAGCATATAGCTTTCTTTTTAAATTAGACAAAAGTTTTAGAATTATAATACATTTTGAATTGAAAGAATGGATTCCAAATTTTTGCATTGATCAATATGATCGATTGTGTATGATGGTGTACATTGCATTAAAGGTTTTCTTGGAAAAGAACTAATTTTCAGCCCAGCTGAACAGAAAAGTTCAATGCACTTTTCATTTAATGGCACTGGTTGTCAGTGTTTTCTCTTGGATCAGCAAATTCTGGAGATACAAAACAGAACACATACAGTACAACCATTGAAGAAAAAGGGGGATAGGATGGGGAGAGGGGACTTTTAATAGATATTTAACATAATTCTTCTAGTACACTATAAACAAAGTCATATATTGCGAAAGTTTAGTGTAAACCTTATTTATTTAAGAGAGACGTAATGCATGGTTGACAAAGTAAAAAATCAACATTTTTAATCATTAAATGGGTTTTTGAAACATATTACTCTTACACCTAAAGCATCACTGAATGTGATAATCAGTTAAATTGAATGAAAATTGTCTAAGCTGAAGATTGACAACAACAGAATTTTTCATCAGTATTAAAATGCAGTTATTTTACATAGTGTTTGATCAAACAAGAAAGTTCAACCTGTTCCTTAATTTTTTCCCATTTTGCATATTAATTAATAAACTGTTTTAACATGATTTATTTCTCCCCCTCCATCATTTTATTTTTGAATGTCGTTTTTTTTCTTACGTTTATTTGTTTTTGCATGATTTGCTGTGCATGATTGAACGCAGGCTACAGTTGACCAGCGAAGAAGACTTTCACCTACAGGAACGTCTAGAACGACGCAGAAAAGAACGGGAAGAAAGGTTGAAGCTCATGTACGTGCATCTTGCTGCATAAAGTCGGACGTTTATAACCATGTTCCACCATTATCACCTGCTCTTCATCTAGTGTAGTAATCATAGCTCATTACAATAATCGCCTAATTATTACAGGAATGTGCACTTCATGTAGGTCTTTTACTAGCCAGCTTTTTTAAATAGCTCTAATCATTTTTTCTTTTTAAATTGGAAAAGACATTTCATTTTTTGATAGTAAATTAATTTTTCTATAGTAAATTAAAATCCTTAGTTTAATTTTGAAAGGTGAAGATGTTTTAAAGGGAATAGGAAATGTTCAAGTCTGCTGAGGTTTTAGATAAACTTAACAGTAAATTCTAGATAAGCTGTAACACTACCCTATGAAACTTTTGAGGTATATTGATAGAAATTTAAAAATAAGGCCATAATAAATAAATTGCTAGATTCTCATCCAAATTTTTTAAAAAATCGGGGCGGGCGGCTTTTATTTTGTATTTTTTATTTTTTCAATTTTGCAGATTTTTTATTGACCTAGTCAATCGGTGTAATTTTATCTACAATACCAGAATAAAGTCATAGTAAAGGTTCCATTATCTCTTACTTCACATCATCACCAATCTTTTTTATTTAAAATATATCGTGTATTACAGCAATTACCATCTTTTCAGCTGTCAAAATCATGTTGACATTCACGGGATTTAAAACGAAAGTAGAATGATAGATGAATACCGATCCCGATCAGAATTAAGACAAAGAAAAACAGAAATAAAAAAAATCGAGGCGGGGGTTTAAAATCGGGGCGGGCGGGGACTCTAGGAATCTAGGAATATTTTTATTATGGCCTAACTTCTTTTTTTTCTATTTTGAGACTTTGCAGACAATTCAAAGTGAAAGGATAGAGAATTTTTTTTTCTTGAGTTTTCAAAACACTCAGATTCAAAAATTTGCTTGCTATATACAATTCTAATCCAGTAGATATTAAAATTTTACTATCTGTGGCATAAGTCACATTGCATAGAACCCAACATATTGCACAGTGGGCAGCCAGCTTATAACCACATGTGTGTACTTTCTGCAGAAATGGCAGATGATGCTATTTTATGTAATCCCCACATGGTCTATATTACACTGTCATTATCAGTCTATCACAATTATTGCACATTATCTGATATAGGTGCTGCAAAGATAACTATAGCAATAGCATATGCCATAATTTTTGGATGTAATCTTATTATACAGTATTATGTATGTGCTTGAAGAAACATTTGTTGAGGTTGAATTTATTTTTGTAATTTTTCAGTCCAAATTTGGGGTATTTTTGAATTTTTTTTTTTCAATTTATTGTGTAAAAATTTGGGCACATCTAAAAAAGATAGGAAACAGTACTTCCAAAGTTTTCAAATGTTTAATTGTAAAAATTTTTTTAAAAATCTGAAGTAGCGTGCAATGTTTCTGCTAGTAAATTTTTGCAAGCTGGCTTTTGAAGGTCAAGGTCAAGGAGATTTTTCCCTTAAAACGTTTGATGTTAACTCATCATAAAAACATATCATCATAATGAAATTTTCCCTGATTTAAACACGCAAAATTCTGGTTTATCTGTGGAGAGAATTTGGTATTTGAGGTTAATGTCTGTTTTTTCGAGCTGTTTTTCCTCACAAACAAGTGCAGAGTCATCAGATTGCAGGAACACTTACAAGTGTACAACACTACATTTGGAGAATCACTTTTCGGGAAGGCAATATGTTGGACGTATTCCAAGAAGTTGCACGCCGTGATTTATCTAACAGGCTGGCAAGAATCAGTCAGAAAAACGTAGCTCCGAGCTTTCTAGCCATACCGCTATATACCCTAAACAATGATCGTATGATTAGATGTATCTATTAAAAGACAGAAAAGATTAGCTAACATAGATCACATTTTTTCCTGTGAAATCAAGAGATAAATTAACACAAGAAAAAAGGAAACTTTTTTTTTTAAAAGATAGTTTATTTACTTAAAAGAAAATATTGACTCTTTGTTAAAGATTTGTTTCTGATAAGGTGGCACCATAAGAAAGTATTTTAAAAACATTTTTGACCTCTTTAGATAACACTGCAGCCAGTATGATGTAAAGATGGGGATATATTCATAAGATAAATATCTCTTTCATCTTTTTCACATATTTTTTCGCAAATAGAGGATTAAACATTACTTTGCATGCAAATTTACTATGTATTCAAAGGGCAATCACTCTGCATTAGATATGTATCATTATTAAAACATCACGTTTGAAGCCACAGTTAAAGAATGTTATCTTTAACAGATCATATCAACATTTCCTTTAGAATTCCAAGGTAGATCACAATATCATATCATATATGTTAATTTTAGCAAGATTTCATTTTCATCTGAGAGCATGATTTTGAACTTTTCAGAACAATAATTTCTTTCAGTCACTTCAACCTATAAATCCATGTTTTCTGTAAGATAATTTTATCTTAAAGTCATAATTATTGGCATGATATCCTTCAGATTCTTAATTGAATGATGTCACATAAATTAGTACCATAAATTATAGAAACAATTAAGTTTGAAGTCTAAATGCTGCTTCAACTTTTCTATCTGTAAACAATTAGGTCATGCCAACTAAAAAGCTTTATATATCTGTAAAAAAAAAAAAATTAAACTTCAAAATTAAAAATTTATTCTCATTAATATTGGTTTGGTTAATTGATATTTTTCTTTTATTAAATTCACTAAAACAGCTTTTTAGTTGGTTGGCACTTTATGATGATGTCATCAAAATCACATGACATCATAGCTTTCTTAAATTGCCTGTTGCCAACATGTTTTATGAAATTGACAATAGTTACAGTTTTTCTCTGACCTTTTTCCCTAGCATCCAAGTTTTTGGAATGTGTGTGTGTGAATTTTTCATCCATTCTTTTTCTTCCTGCACTAACACAGAGCTGCCGGGGTAAATGCAATTAACGGGGAGGATGAGCTCGAACGTCGACGCAGGGAGAGGCGAGAAATGAGGCTCAGGCAAGATGAGTTAGCCACCTTGTAATGTGGCACTATACTGTGTATTATCATAGCCACCTTGTAATGTGGCTATATTTGTGGCTCATTATGTGTATTTTGAATACCAGAATTTTTACAAGTTTTATCTCTTGCAAAAAAAAGGAAGAAAACATACACAAAAGTTTAAAAATGGTTAAATAAGAAGCATTTTGTAACAAATGAAAAAGTTATGAATGATACCTTCACAAAAGATAAAATCTGCAATATTGACCCAAATATCTATTTTTAGCTGAAGCATTTAAATTGTCAAAATGTTGTCAAATATATCATGATAAGTGACATATAACAGTACATAAAATTTGAAATAACATTCACTTTAGTATAACAAAAGCAGTAGAATGTATAGAAGAAATTTTGATGTTGAAATTGATTAACAAATCGACCGTTACTTGACAGTTAAAATTAAAGTATTCAAAATTGAATGAATTTATTGGTTCGTATATATATGTAAGATACATGGTACATTTAATCTTTTATATAGCCAATGAAATGGAGCCTAAACATTTAAATTAAATTGAAAAAAGGGAATATTTTGCACTTTAAGAGACATTCACAAGATCTGACTGTTATACTTCTGCTTGAGACGACCCAAGTCTAGAGTATTTCAAAGTTCATTAATTCTTTGTTTCAAAACCTGTGTGCAGAAGAAGGTATTGTTTTCAGAGACATTTAAGCTTGGAATATAATACTTAAATGATTGAATGCAAAAGGCATGAAAAATATTTCTAGGTGACATGTGCTTAACCATATGGACTAAAAATTGACAAATAATGATATTTTAAGGTATTTCTTCCCACTATTTCAAACTGATTTTATGGATTTACAAAACAAAGTGAGAATTTTAAACAAATGATTGAAGAAAGGAAATGTTTGGATTTTATATAGATATGCATTAATAATCTTAGCGATTTTCAAACGTTTTTTGGTTTTGATTTGTAGGTCCTCGGAGACCACAGAGGAAACCACCACCAGTCGCCGCAGTCGCCGCCGAGGTACAGAGGACGAAACTGATGCCACTGAGGTAAGGAGGTTAAAGTTGAAGTCTTGTTTTTTTGTTTTTTTAATTGAACTTTTCTGGCTCTTTTGATAGGAGATAGGCAAATTAGATTTTGCATTTCTAATAAAGTAGTCTAGAAATTACCAATCTAATTCAGGTCTAAGTATTCTTTGATAATTATGAATAGGTAAGAGGGTATGGGGCGGTTGGGGGTGTGGAAAGGAATTGATCTACCAAATCTATTTAAAAGGGTTGAGAAAGAGTAAGGAATGCAGTGTAAAATTTAAGGACTCATGATAGATATAGACTTCTTTACTTTTAGACTGTAGATCCATTTAACATTTTCTTTAGGTAGTTAGATGTATAGATTAGGACTCTAGTCTACTTTAGATCATTCTGACTAGCAATCTGGGACATTTAGTTGTAAATCGTTTGATTGTTTGTGTTTGTTCATTTGTGTTTGACCACTCATTTGCATACAGGAATCATCATACACAAGCACGCGTTCACGTCGCCGACGCGGATATGACGAGGAGGTAAAACGGTGTTGTTTCCATGGAAATGTGCTCCAGAATCAAATCCATTACAATACGTAGAGCTAGCTGCACTAATTTCATCCTCATTCATTCTAACTTCGCACACACACACACACTGCCCAATCCCCAGTTACCAATGATGATAGAATGATCAATAGAAATCGTCCTAAACATTCATTTTCATGGATTTCCAAATCCCAAATTATTGTTAAAATGATGGGCTCCTCCTAATACAAATAAGATACTGAATCTCCTTGAGGTGAAAGGGTATTTGACAAAAGCACTGTCTTGTAAGATGCATGTTATATGTCCAGTAGAATTATAAGCACTCAAGCAGCATGTTTTAAAATGACCTTTAGCCATCCATTTCCTTCAAAAGAAGGACATACCAAACTCTTTACACTACACTCTTTGGCCCTTGGAGTAGACTTAGAATTTATTGAATCCATTGAAACTTTGTCCATATTCCAATACCTCTGGTGTTTCTATAAGAAAGTAATAATATTCCCAATGCTCCAATGAAGTCCAGTCATCACTGTTTGACCCATATGCACAACATTTGCCATACCTAATAATGGCATTGATTTAAGAAATTTTTGATCAATCAGAATTGTTAGTTCGCTTATGTAGAAAGTATTTATATGTCAATATTGTGAAATAGATATTGTCAGTAGTATTTAGTCTTTAAGAATTGTTGCTTGCAAGTATATTTATAAAGAAAATTATTTCTGTACATTTAGTATTATTAAATGCACGTTCATACCTGAAAATGAGGTACATGGGAAATATATGAGATATGATCTATAATTTTTTTTAAAAATACTTATTTCATTGTTCATTTCTTCCATTATAATAAGATTGTTGATACATTTATATCTTCCACCAGCTCTCATGCATATTTCATTTTTCCATAAAGCCATCAGTACACATCTTGATCTTCAGTTTTGACTTTGATTGACCTTGACATTTTGATAGGTCGTAACCTAAATAAATACTAATTTCAATCTGTCAACATTTAGGACACCCCAGCAGCTCCCGAAGAACCACAAGTAGACCCAGAGGAGGAAGCTCGCAAGCGTCGAGCAGCACAAGCCGAGCAGGACAGGCTCGAGGAAGAGGAGCGAGCTCGCAAAGAGGAGGAGGCAGAAGAACGGGCGAGACAGGAGGAGATCAGGAGACAACAGGAGGAAGAGAGAAGGAGACAGGACGAGGAAAGAAGAAGGCAAGAGGAGGCAGAACGTGCTAAGAGGGTAGGTCAAAGGTTAACTTCTGGGTCAGTCAGGAGAGAAGGTAGTATGTCAAAAAGGTAGAAAGCGTTGAATACAAATCATGGTCATTCAACAAACACTTATGAGGATAGAGAACATTAAAGTAAGTGAAATGCTTGAGTGTTTAAAAGTAGTGAAAAAAAATTGTAAATGTATTACTGAAGTTTTTATTTTGAAAAAATATTGTGTGACTGTTTGCTTTGATTTCATACCCAAGATTTTATTTAATGTGTCCCCAAAAATAACAACATATGCTTGTTACATAACAGCATGACGTTTGTTTCTGCATGTCTTTTTCTGCATGGTTTACACAGGAAGAAATTGACAATATCCTGGAAAGACAGAGAAAAGAACGAGAAGAGCAGGAATTGAAAATTAACGAGAGGATACGCAACTTACAAAGTGCAAAAGACACAGTGAATGAGGACTTGTTTATTGATGAGGATAGTTGGAATAATCATTCAAACAGAGGCAATAATTTGTTAGAAATGGATAGGAGGAAATCAGAGAGCAACAAAACCAGTCAGTTAAAGACGTTCTTTGAGGACAGGATGGAGGAGCAAAAATCAAATGGACTTCATGTTGAGGTCCTGAGGAAAGACGGATCTAACAGAAGACATCATGTAAGCTAAATGACCTTTACCTTCTTGTTTTGGCATTTGGTTTTCAAAGAAATTGGATAATGAATACAGAATATTTTAATAGCTCCTGAATCTCATTTTTCAGCCAGGCAACCTTAGTTTGGATGAGTCAAGTCAGTCACATGTCCAAGAAAGATTGAACAAATTTCAATCTTCTCTGCAAAATTCACCAAAGGTTAGGAAATACATGTAATGAATTGTGAAATATTTAAAGAACTATGTTTTTATATGAAAAAAAAACTTGTTTATTTAGATTATATTGTTAAAAATCTGCTTCTTTTTAACAGGATTCAGCCAAAGACGTACATTTATATCATGCCAAAGTGTTCTCCCCTGGAACAGATAGACTCAAAGATATCCAAAAGCGGGTATGGAAAGCAATATTCAACTTTTTTGATCAGTTTTCTGTAAAAAAATAATAATATAATTTTAAGCTTTTTATGAAAGAAAACATAAGTAAGAATTTCAAACATCTAAAACCCTAGATTTGATGAAACATGATTATGAGTAACTATATAAGGCATGTTGATATATTTTTTGTATTTTGTATTGCAATATATCACAATAGGGAAAGAAATTACATGGATATTGCAACTGCCTGATCGCGTTGTGTGTACACAGGTGGCAAGCTAGTTTTTTGTGGCACAACTTTAAGTGCAAGTGAAACTCATCTTGCCGCCATAACATTACAGTAAGTAACCTTCGAACCCGAACCGCTATTCACAAAAAAAACTGTGTATTTGATAAAAAAATTAAAGTTGCACACAAGTGATTGCAAGTGACATCTTAACATTACAGTAAGTCCCTAACTGTGTATTCAATAAAAAAATCAAAGTTGCACATAAGTGATTCAGAAATCTTTTTAACTATTTCTATATCTTTTTAGGAGAAAATGGATTCACCCCGATTCGGAAGTAAAAAAGTGTTGGACAGATGGCACCCTCCAGCAGATTCACAGAAATCTCCTTTAGCCACAAGTTTTAAAGCCACAAGCACATCAAATATGGACAATGGTGCCTCACGCAAATCAGGAACAGTAACTCTGTTGGCATCCAAATTTATAACTTCTAAGGAATCTTTAAATGATAATCATGTGACCACACCCACAGACCTTGAGCGCTCAGAGTCATTTAAAGATGTTTCCTCAATAAGACGACAATGGTCACAGGTAGATTCAGCAGGAAAACCCGAGCCAGGCTCCACCAGTTTAAGGAGGCAAAAATCAATGGGATCTAAAGTAACAGAAAGATGGCAGTTTGATAGACAAGGGTCTCTGCCATCTCCAAATGACAAAGAACAAGTGTCCCACACTACAATTCACAGAGAACCTCTCTCACCTTCCAGAACTAACCTTTTCTCAGCCTCATCTCAAGACAACCAGGTCATTTCTCCAGCTAGGTCAAGGCCAATTTCAACATCCTCTGTAGATAGTCAGAAAGTAGGTCAAAGATCACTTGGAAATATTTTAATGAAAGAAACCTAATGATTTGAAAGATTCAGAATTGTTCACTGATTTTTGAAACTGTTCCTATTTTCAGCTGGTCTCTTGCAATCAATGGTAAATTGCATGGAATATGTTGTTTTTATGTTGACTTGCTTGCATTTTACATTTGAATATAAACATTTTTCTTTTGTTGTGTTACTCACACCTTATTTTTTTATTGTTTAAAATTCTTTTTCATATGTGACAAAAGGCAAAGTAACTTGCATGAAAACAGGCTTATAATGGCATGTGCACATTCAAACTTTTAGGATGTTGTTGTTGTTGCTACACCAGTTACCATAACAACCAATGGTTGGCACCGTACAAATGGATCTCAAAAGGTAAGTCTTGCAATTGATGTCATAACAGTAGAAGGGACATTTCAAACTCAGGTAGGTATAAGTAAGAAGTATTGAACTTCTAGTTATGATTTCATTATATAACATTTTTTGATATATCACAAATATAATATTTTTTATTGTGTATCACGCCTGATACAGTTATGTTCCACCGGAAACAGTTATGTTGCCCTCCTGAACACAGTTATGTTCCCTCGCGTGCCATCATTCTGCATATTAAATACGTCGGGTTCGAAATTCACAGAGGCAGTTGCTAAGCACACGTAAACAGTTCCATGAAAATTAATAATTGGGCAAATTTTATATGGGGAAAATGGAGAAGAAGGTGCATTACAGTGCATCTCTTAACTCCATCTTGGGAAATTTTAAATGGGAAAAAATTAATCATAAGTCTTAAGGGGCAATAAAACCTGTATACAGTATTTAGGATTATTTTGGGTGACTAAAAAAACTTCATTGAAATAGTATACTTTTTTAAATTTTTTAATATCATTTATGAATCAGGAAGAAGAAGAGAGAATCGAGCGCGAGCGATTGGAACGTGAAGAGGCGGAGCGAGAAGAAGTACGTATCCAATCAAATCATCAGAAATTTCAAAAATTCATTCAGTTAATGTTAAGGATGCTGTATAGAAGGGGAAAAAATTTATTTGAAAATTGACTAAATCAGATAAAAAATTATAAAGTGGCAATGTGTATTTCTGTTTGCTAATAGTTTTTTGTAGATCAATGTGTAGCTTTGGTTTTTATATACTTTGCAATAATTCAAAGAAAAAAAGAGAGAGAAAAAATCTTTGAATACATTTTGTCATTGCATATATTTATTTACAAAAAAAAAAAAAAAAAAAAAAAAAAAAAAAAACAGAAATTGATCAGCAGAAGGCAAATATTTTTTAGTACATACAAACTACTTCTGATACAGTATACTGATATTGAAAACACACAGTTATGTCTGTATGAGCACTTTATTCAGGATAAAATATCAAGTTTTTAGCATCGTAGTAGAAACCCTCTCCTCTGCCTATAAGAATATAAACATGCGATTCATGCATGACACTTGTGTCAGTCATGTTTCCCTAATTTTTACTGTATAGACATTTGATATAATGTGTGTCCACATGTCATAAGATGAAACAGTGATGATTTCCTCCATCTGAAAATGAAAAATGAATTTGTTGTTTACTTAACAGAGTTAAGACAAATTCATGAAAAACATGTCAAGACTGAAATATGTTTGCAAGGAATTTAGTAGAAAATTAATTGATGATGATTTCTTAATTGCTCAGTTCTAATTAGAACAGATTTTTCACAGGGGAAAAAATGTAGAGATTTAATATTGTCATTTCACACAGAGAAATTAGTTGCATGGTAGAAAATCACCACTGTTAATTCTATGCATGATTAATTAAAAAAATTGAAAGCGTTAGACTCCTAGGATAGAGGGAATGCCATAGAAATAGACATTGCCACATGGTTCGCACATGGCGTATAGAGTCGTGAAGTGTTCCCATTCGTCCTGTGTCTCATGACTAATCTCACATTTCACATTTTTCGAAAGTAAATTTTTCCTTTTTTCCAAAAAAAAAAAAAAAGAAATAAAAAGAAACTCCTAATACAGCCAAATTTCAGATAGACTTTCCCTCTGTATTCATATACATATATAAACAATTGAAATAACTGTCTTGTAGAAGTGTATATTATCGTCAAATATTATACTATCCAGTAAAATTGCACTTCTAATAGTAAAAGCACAGCATAAACAGAGGTGCTGGCCTTCATTTGAAAAAAAATGGGAATAGGGAGAAGGCTGATCATGTGATATGTCACATGACAAGGAAAATGGTGGAGTGTTTTAGGGCAGAGTGAATTGGACAGGCGTTATTTCCATTTCGTAGGCAGCAAGAAGGATGGAAGAAGAACAAAAGAAGAGATCTCGCAAGAGGAAAGGGTTGGGAGGCCTAGACAAAGAAAAGAAGAATAAACTCAAAGTAGGTCATATCCACTCAGAATGTAGGTCATATCCATGCACTTCAAGACCAAAAATCAGTCATTTCTCAAATATTCTGCAGTTTTTTTGCACAGTGCATTATATATGTAAAAATATTTCTTGCTCAGAAATTTAAAATGTTATAATGATATGTATTTTTGATAAGAAACACGTTCAATCCTTATCCCCTTCTTTGAAAACTACTAAATTGAAAAATTCATCCATAAATCAAAAACAGTTCATATACCATCAACCTCATTAATATTGCCTGCAACTCTCTCTTCTGTCTTGCATGCTCTTGTTATAGAAGCTTAAGTGTACATTAACTTTAATAACAGTTTTTGCATATGAAAATGACATGAATAAAAAATGGAATGAATCTTAGAATATTGTATGAAAAAGTAACGTGTCGGCTACAACCCCATGAAAATAAAATATCAAGCATTGCTCAGGAATGCCATACCCTTAAACCTTCAAAGGACCTCCTCAAAACAGCAAAGAAGGCCTGTGTTGGTTATAATAAGAACTGTCAATCCTCATCTTAATTCCTTTGATGAATGTGTCTTAACATGCTTAAGTAGATTTACAAAAATGTCTAATTTATCAACAGTAGCTGAATACATATAACTTTCTTTAGGTTTTTTGTAAATAATATTTGTAAATAATATTTTATTGTGTCATCCTTTTCTGTAATTTAAAGCAAATATATCTTATTGCTCAGGGCAGGGATGGGTTATGTTGATCTCTGTATTAAATAATTATTGTTGATTTAAAAAATGAATTTTTGTAAAATTTCAAGTTGTGTTTTTGTTGAAGTTGATAGAGAAGAAAACACTTTAAGAGGTAAAGATTATAGATAAATATGTGTCCACAATGAATAAGATTGGTGTTTAAAAAAAAAAATGATAAAATATTAGTTTCACGACAAAATGCCGCGAATTTAGAACTTTGAAAAATGTCGTTACGCGAAATCTCCCCCAAGAAAATTTTCAAAAGTTGGCATGTATGAAGCAATCAGAATTTTGTTCAGACATCCATGCTTGACCTGATGTCAAATTCATGAATAATATTTTGTAGCTTTTTTTTATAAAGCGGTGTTAAGGTATGCTTTCATTCAAGGTAAATTATAGTACCAAGGCCAATTAATTTAAATTAAGTTTTTCAAGTCACATGACCATTAATTAAGTTTAAAAATTCAAATAACACTTCATCTTCAGTCTTTACGAAAACTTTTCTGAGACACAAGCCAGTAGGCTAGTGGATTTGACATTATTACTAGCCCAAAGAAATTTTTAATAGCGTAGAAAGAAAAAAAAATGAAATTGCAGAATTTACTGTTGTATCACTCTATTCTATTTAAATTTCATACTGAATTCCTTTCCTTTTTAGCTCACCTGAGCCGAAGGCTCAAGTGAGCTTTTCTGATCAACATTTGTCCGTCGTCTGTCGTTGTCGTCGTCGTAGTTGTTGTTGTCGTTGTAAACTTTTCACATTTTCATCTTCTTCTCAAGAACCACTGGGCCAATTTCAAACAAACTTGCCACAAAGTATCCTTTGGTAAAGGGGATTTAAGTTTGTTCAAATGAAGGGCCATGCCCTTTACCAAGGGGAGATAATTATGAATTAGAGAAAAATTAGTGGCATTTTTTAAAAATCTTCTTCTCAAGAACCACTGGGCCAGGAAAGATGAAACTCATGTGGAATCATCCTCAAGTAGTGTTCAAATCATGACCCCCGGGGGTAGGGTGGGGCCAAAATGGCCGATCAAAGTTTCACATAGGAATATATAGGAAAAATCTTTAAAAATCTTTTTCTCAAGAACCACTGGGCCAGGAAAGATGAAACTCATGTGAAATCACCCTCAGGTAGTGTAGATTCTAGTTTGTTCAAATCATGACCCCCAGGGGTAGGGTTGGGCCAAAATGGCCGATCAAAGTTTCACATAGGAATATATAGGAAAAATCTTTAAAAATCTTTTCCTCAAGAACCATTGAGACAGGAAAGATGAAACTCATGTGAAATTATCCTCAGGTAGTGTAGATTCTAGTTTGTTCAAATCATGACCCCCGGGGTAGGATGGGGCCAAAATGGCCGATCAGAGTTTCACATAGGAATATATAGGAAAAATCTTTTAAAATCTTTTTCTCAAGAACCATTGAGACAGGAAAGATGAAACTCATGTGAAATTATCATCAGGTAGTGTAGATTCTAGTTTGTTCAAATCATGACCGCCAGGGGTAGGATGTGGCCAAAATGGCCGATCAAAAGATTACATAGGAATAAATAGGGAAACGTTTGAAAATCTTCTTTTCAAGTACTTCAAAGCCATGATTAGTAATATTTATATGGAATCATTCTCAGGTAATGTAGATTCTAGTTCATTCAAATCAGAATCCCATGGAGGGTTAAAATTCAAGCCTCCCCCCCCCCCCCAACCTCAGTAAACTTTTAGTTCTGATCTGATATGTATTTTTCTTAGCCGATGTGCTCAGGTGAGCGCTGTGGCCCCTGGGCCTCTTGTATTTCTTCTGATTAATTTTTTTGTTTTAATATGAGTTGATCGATCCCCTCGTTTTCTTGAATCATAAATAATTCAGTTTACAGAATTAAATTAATTTGAACGAACAATGAATATTTTTGTAGCTTTTTGACAATGTAGATGTATTTTACATGATCCCTTTTTCTGGTCATTAGACTTCTCATCCAAAGGAAATGATTTTTTTTTTCATAATAAATTTTCAGATACACTGTTAATATAAATTTTGATAACACTAATCATAACATCTAAGTTTTCAACTTTGTAAAAGAAACTGTTTAATTTAAAAACAAAATAATGCTTCAACTTTGAAAGAATTTCAACAGGCCATTGTAATTTAAAGGCACATTCTGAGTTTTAAATTTAAAAAATGTTGAGAGTTAGTGTCTAGAATTTCTGACAAGCATGACCATAAGCATGTTGTTGTTAGGACTTGCATGGCGAATCTGAGTCAGCTGATGATGAAGATGAAGGGAGCATGTCCAGCGATTCATCCTTTCAAAGCTCACATTTAAAATCTGGAGCATTGCACAGAGTTACCCCCCTCCCTTCTGATCTGGAAAGCATGAGTAAAGGTATTTTTGTTGATCTCTTTCAATTTTTGCCTTTGTAGAATTCTTATATTTCATATTTTTCAGGCTGCACTATGTTAGAAAAGAATGTATCACAGTTGTTTAGATAGTAATGTACACAGGATAATTTGAATTATAGTTTAACTGTTGTGAAGAATCCCAGAGTCTTTGCTTCAGATATGCACAACTTTAAGAGACAAAATAGTCATGGAATGTATTAAATGGAAGAAATGACACAACCACTTCTTGAAATGTATTTTGAATCAAAGATGTGTAAAGCTCTGAGCAAAACAGCATGTAAAGTCACTTTGCATGAAATTTATAGTCTACATCCAGTTAATAGTTCAAAGTCTCCTGCCTTAACTGGCATAAACATTTGTAGTCATAAGACTTTGTACAAGTGAATGGCATTTTTTGACTTGCAACTTTTTGGGGCCAATTGGCATGGGAATGGCATGAATTTGACATGAGGAAATATTTGGAAAACAGATTAAGAAACACTTACTGGAATTTGTTCAAAGGCTCTCATTATGGCCAAAGCAGCAGAGGATTTGAGAAACGAAGCTAAGGCTAAGGCAGAGGAGAAGGAGAGATACATCAATGAAAGAGTTCCACCCTGTGACACTGCAGGCAAAGACAAGGGTAGGCTTCACAGAAGCATGAAGCATTGCAGCCTCAAAGAAGCATGAAGTATTGCAGCTTCAAAAGGTCAAAAAGATCATGAAGCATTGCAGCATGAGTTGTGGACATTTGAATCCTGATATTTTGCATCTTACATTAGATTGGATTGGCATGGTGTCTATTGCATTTTTGCCAGATGTTTATTTCAGTGTTGAAGCATGATACAGACAGTAATTTACTTTACATGTATTCTGCAATGGACAAGTTTTTTCTCCATTTGAAGGCATGATTTTTTGAAGCATGATTTACCTGAAGTTTGGTACAGCAGGACAAAGCTGTTTAGATCACAACTATCAAATTTTTTGGAATGGACTTGTACAGTATGGAAGTAAAAAGCAACTGAAGTTTGAGATGCTATTCACATCAGTTTGTTTATGTTCATTGCCATTGGTTGTATTTTCATTTTCTGTTTTGGTGTTGTCTGTGGTTGATTTCCAACATACTGTATTTTGTTGGCATTTTTTAATTTGTTTTTATTTGCCTTGTATTTTTACTTTTAAGTAGATACAATGTCAATTTAGATTTTGAGAAAAACTTAAAACAATGGATGCTTGTCTTGAAATTTTCCCGAAATATATTAAAGCATATGCATGTTATATGAATGTCATTTTTATGAATGATATTTATACAAATGTTTCATTATATCTAGAAGACTCATAATGAGCAAAAAAAAATGTTGTGTTTAAAGATTTAATTAAGATGAATTTATGCCAAAATTGCTTGCTTTATGTCTTTTTTGTGAATAAAGCATTTTCTCCTACCTTTAACAGCTGCGCTGGCCAAACTGTGTAAGGATCTGCATACCTTAGTGGCCACTCTAGAAGAAGAACTGTATGACTGGAACATGAAAGTCAGAAAACAGGAAGCAGAAGTAAGTAGTCATGGTAACACACTTGTTACCATGGTGATGTGTAAACAGTATGGTCATTGCTATCACATATGTTTGTCCTTTTACAATGTATTCACATTTTTTTTTCTCTTATTCATAGATCAACTCTCTAACTCTTAAGGTCAACGATTCCAAAGGAAAATTGTAAGTAGATATGCAGTGGCAGACATGTACAAATCTATCCTCATATTCAAATGAGGATTTATTTCCATTGATAAAATACCAGTAATTTGTACAAATTAGATACAATGTACATTTACACTTGTAGATGATGGTTCATATGTACATTTATTTACTGAAATAATTTACTAACTGTTCACAATTTTGATTTTTCAGCATTAAACCAGTTCTTAGAAAAGTCAACAAAGAGAGCAAGTAAGCAAACTATTCTATTTCAAATTTTCCTTAGTTTGCAAAGTCTATTAGTTATTAATTCCTTGAGTATATATATTACATATTTGTTTTGTCTTGTAGATTTGATAAGCTTAAGAAAGATAAGTCAGATTTTCGTGGCAATTTGAAGTCAACAGGCCAGAGTAAATATGCATTAGATGAAGAAGGAGAAGAAAAGGTAAGGTTTTCATGTTCAGCTTCTGGTTTCAGTTTTTGCTTTTGTTTTAAAGTGTTATTAAAAAGGCTTTAAAGGGAGAGAAATAATGAAAGTTAATTTTAAAAAAGCTATCTTGGACCATTTCAAAAGCTATTTAATATACATGTAACAAAACAAAATCAACTGAAGTTTTTTTTTGTATTCTTGTCATCTTTGATGTTTCTTTCCACTCAAGTTTTTCTCCCTTTTCCTGGCTTTTCTCGCCATCAGAAAAAGTTTGGTCATGTTCTCATGTAATATTTCACTAAATATTTTCAAACAATATACGTTTCCTTGAACAGATATTTAAAAAATGGTATATTTCAAGTGAAATACATATGATTTCTAATTTCAAGCAAAAAAGAATGAGATGTTTCAAATTTTCAAAATTAGCATCATTCAGTACACTGATTGACATTAAGAAAATGTCAGTAAATGTGTGTACAAATTTTTCAAAATCAATTTTACTGATGTTTTCTATCGATTCTGATCATGACTAGAAGAGATGTAGGCTTAAGTCCAATTTAAATCAAGTAATGAAAGTAATAATTCAATCAAATTACAAAATCAAACAACTCTGTCATACATGTATAGACAAGTCTTTTATGTTTAGTACAGTTAAAAATTGTGTTTCAATCCATTAAATCCCTCCAATGTTGTTGTTGTAAATTATGATAACTAATAAAGATGCAGCTTCTCAAAAACAGTTTAAAAAATCAAAACCAAAGAAAGGTGATCTTTTCTGTATTAACCTCAAATATACTTATTGTTTTCAAGAACAAAGTAGCTTTTTGACCATTTTGAGCCAATTTTAGGATATCTTACACTAGGTTTTATAACTTCAGTCCCTTTATACCATAATGTGATTCCAAATTAAATACAAATCAGAAGTCAGATTCTTAATTAAAAATTTTCACATTTTTGTCTTCTGGATATGTTATCAATATACTATATCAATGGGATGTTTAGGGGGAACAAATTTAGCAGTTTGTTCATAAATTTATGTATATAAATATGTACTCAAACAGTGAGGGAGACACAAATTTAATAATTCTATAATGCTTTGTAAGGTAACTTTAATCATAAATGCAATGTAAATTGATTTGTCAACAGAATTTTAGTGACCTTCGAGTTCCTAAAAATGCCTATTTAATTATTTATAGTATTACAAACAAGAGGCTTAAAATTGATATGGCCATCACCAGACCTTGTCCTTTGTACTAACTTCCATGTTTTCATTGCATTTCTGTATGATTTGTTAAATTGTATTGTGACAGTTTATGTTTTTGGTCACATGTTTGGCAAACTACACTGGTGCCATCACTATAGATGGTTGACTGGGTAATGCTGAGTGAAAATACTTTCTTGTTTACATTGTTCTGGAATGCTGGCAAAACTTACTCTTTTCAGGCGGAATAAATTATCACCATGGTTTCTACGCTAGCTAAATATTGAGGTATGTTGTAGAGGAGTTATTCCCCCCTTCAAGGCAAAAAAATGGTCCTGGATCACTCTTTAGAAATTCATTCCTATATCCTAAATTCACCATGCCATAAACTCATTTTGCCAAGCTCACAGACCAAATAAATATAACAACTGCACTCCTTTGCCTATAATCTTGATAATTTTAATTTTTTTATATCTTGAAGTAGTTCTTATTTTAGCCTCATTCTTTCTCCATATAACAGTATCTTGAAGTAGAATTTTATCCAGATACTTTTATAGTTCTGCTTATTTTATTCCACTTTTAAGACTTAATGCATTTTACATGTTCTGTACTAGTTTGCATTTTACCAGACATCCTTCAAGCTGGGTAAAATTGCCATTATAGAAAATTTCATGAATGACTGTAAATTTTAAACTGTATATTTCATTCATCCTGTTTGCAATATTTTTAATTTGCATCTGCAACTAAAACTTCCTCTAATGAAGTGTTTACTTTTCCCACACAAGAATATAATTGATGGTAAGCTTTTAGGAATAAAGTAGTAAGATTAAGTCATGTTTTTCCCCTTGGACTTCAAAATATCCTGCTTGAATTGAAGTATGAATTAAACAAAAAAAAAAAAGGCTAATGAATAAATTTCATCAATTCAAACGGGTTATAAAAATTCTTTTTGTAATTCTAGTAAAGCATGGTACATAATGTGTTAATAAAAGGAGAACACCCCCCTGCTTTCAAAATGGAATTTATGAGTTATAATGAAATGAACTTGTACAAATTCATTTCATTATAACTCATAAATTATAATAATTTTCAAAAGCAAAATTTGACAGCAACCACATTTTGAAGGTATTTTAAAAGAATTTTTAAATTTTAAGAATTACTTCCCTTTAGCAGAGGGCTGTTCCTCCTTAAAGTGGAATCAGCAGACTTTTTTAATCAAATATAGTTTTAATATTTTTATTTTAAAAAAAAAAATTAGAATTTGAAGTACGGGTATTATGTTGTATTTATGTTGTTACTTGCATTGTTGTTGAAATGATGTGATGACCTTTCCATTTCAATAGTATATGTGATAAAGACTTAAGGTTCATTTATTGTCTTTCTTTCTTTTATACAGAAATAGACAAAGAAGAGCTGATTATAGCAATAATGAAGAATTTAGAAAGGAAACATCATTATTTGGCGATTATCCTGTAGTAACCCACGATTTCAACGTTCTCTTCCTGTGTGACTCCAATGTTCTTCGACCTACATTTGTTTTAATTATTTTGGACACATGCAGTATAAAAATGTTTCATATTTCGAACTCTTTTTAATTTTTCTGAAGCATTGTTTTGACTGGACTGTGGCTAATTTCTCATAGCAAGTGTAAATTTAGAATGTATAATGTAAACATGTTAGCTATCTCATACAAATGTATGGTAATATTAAATGATTACAATGTAATGTGGTTATGAATGTATGAAAGTTTTTTCTTATTACTGAAAGGGATAGTTTCACAAACATATTGTGAATTGCATATTCATTTTCGTAGTCAAAGGTGCTGTGTAATATGGAATTCTATTTTAAATTTTAGTTTTGTTTATTGAAACTTATTTATCCTGCCAAAAAATATTTTATTGCTGCATGCTTGTACATGTAAATCTTTGATTTTTCCAATAGACAACAAATTATATTGGAATATGAAATTTTTTAACATCAAAAATGTTAATAAAAGGTGGAAAGATATATTCTACCTTTGGTCTTTTTTAGGATTAATTGCCTACAGATGTTTTTTAACCACTAATTACTTTATAGAGCCTTTTAGATATATCTGTTTCATTTATTCTATTTATTGTGACAGTTGCTGTGTATATGTAAATATGTGTGACCTAGCTATAGACTCCTTGCTCAAGACTAGCAGCAAGGATTAATATAATACTGCAATTAATTAATGTTCAAATTATTTAATATAATATATATGTTTCATAGATAATATTCAAGATTTATCTATATAATGTTCCTAATTATAATGATTTTTAAAAAATATTGCTTCCAACATATTTAATTTTTGTCTTAGGCAAACAGTATACCCATTGAAAACTGCAAAATGCTTTGGCCAATTATGAAGAACCCAACCCTTTATTTATACACAGTTTTTGTCCATTGGGTGGAAACTTGTGTTTAACTTTGACCAGGATGAAATATGACATCCAATATGTAATTTGTTTTCTTTAGTGAAAAGAAGTTTCTGTAAGATCTAGATGGGATATTTTGTTCGAGCAATAAACTCATTCCTTGCCAAAAAGAACAGTTGTTTTGTTGTAATTATTCAGGCAAGGGCACTGTACAAATGGAAAAAATATAGAAATGATGCATTGTATGAGGTACATGAACATGTATAGTAAATTAGTAAGTCAGGAGGCATTTACACCTTTTCTATAGTTATGTACCTACTTATCTTCTCTAGAAGTGAGCAAGTTTTCCAAAATCTGAACACACAGCCAAATAAAGTAACCATATACACAAACTCCTTTAGTCCTCCACCAAAAACAGTGCTAGCATCTACATGTACTTATGTACATCCTGCACATGCAGTCTACACCTTTAATGGTTATCGCTGGATGGTACAAACTAGAAGTCGAATAAAAAACCTGGCACTAGCATCCCATAGAAAAGAGTCAATTACAAATCTGATAAAACTTCAATTATGACCTCATATGAGACGGTTGTCTTTGTGAGGGAGGGTACTACATCAGCAGTTGCCATCTACAAACAGAATGCAGCAAACAACTTTTGTAGCCAAAAAAGCAATATACTAGTATTACATGTATACAGAAATATTTGATATTTTAAGAAAAGTAAGGATACTGTGCAGAAGTCATATTTTGATTTATATATAAAGTCTTATTTGAGAAGCATGGATTCATGCATTATTAGCAGAGCTATTTTTGTATTCATGTGAAGCAGAATTTTTTAATGTAAAAACTTCTACATGGAGAGAAGTTTCTTGCTGTGGCTTGTACAGTTCAATATTTAGATAAATCCACGACATTTATCAATAAACAAATTTAGTTTCTATTCCTAAGGTGATTTGATATCCTATGAAATTGATATAAAATATACAACAGAGAGACTGACACACCTGTTTCATATTTGAATATTTTACTAAGGAAAAAAAAGGAGTTTGTAACCTAACCTCAAAATTTTGTATTATAAACATGATTTATACTTCAATTCTTCTAGTATCTTAAACCTCCCATATTTTTGAAGCAATATACCCTATAAACTGCATCTTTATGCAGTTTATGATTAAACTTCTAAAACAAAACGAGCTACTGGCAAAGAAGACGATGAAACAAGGGTATGAACAGCAAAAACAGAATAACGTAAAGTCGAATACTATCTGACGTTTCACATACTGTTAGTCTTTTACGTAGTCCGTGACAAAGAGCACACGACGGGTATGACTGGTGGACAGGAGATGCTTACTCCTCCATGGCACTTGATCCCACTATGAAGTTTTAGATGTTTTTGTTTGCCCTGCTTTGTTGTTGCAATGGACTTTTAAGCTTAAATATTCCATATCGTGTTTATTGTTTTCAATAATATATGGGAAGATGAAATAATGAATAAATACCTAGTACCTCCTTTCAAACGTCGGTCCTTCGTCATTTTATTAAATGGATTAAAACTGTATGGTTAGGTTGGATGAAAGCTTTATATCTTGTAAGATTGTAAGGTTTCATTTCCAGGGGAATTTCAGTAAGTTTGTTTGCATTCCTGTTATGGTGTACTGCCTGAAAAGATTTTATGGGTCACCAGTATCAATTTCTTGCCGAAAGATCGTTACAAGGCAAGAAAACAAGATGGCATGGGTTTGAGAATCTGAGAGTGGTTAGACACCCATGGAAACTATTAAGAGGGATATGGAGGAAAGGGATCGATCGAAGATTCCATCTTGTTGGCAGAAGGCTGGAGTGCTTTGTAACCAAGGAGGAGAACTCTGAGGGGATAAATCAGTTTTGGACAATCTAATTGCTAAATGTAGAAGGGAAAATCTTCTCAGTCCTGCTGAGAAGGATCACATCTTACATGTGCAAGAATCAGCATGTGGATACATCAGTACACAAAGGACGAGTACATGGATGTTTGAACATACTTGCATCATAACAAAACTATTGCATGAAGCAAATGTCAGAAAGAGAGATCTCACGGTGGTTAAGTTAGATTTAGCAAACGCATAAGGAACGATCCCACATACGCTCACAGTGGAGGTCCTTGGGCACTACCATATACCAGAACACTTTTGGATGATCATAAAAAGTTACTTCAGTGGGATACAGCTACGCTTCACAACAGCCAGCTATACAACATCTTGGCAGAAACTGCCGAAGGGTATTGTGGCAGGTTGTACCATCTCAGTGATCATGTTTGTAAAGGGCATGAGTATGATCATCAAAGCCGGAACGAGCAAAATCAGAGGTCCCAAGACATCAACATCTGGAATCTCCCTCTATTTGTAATGGGTTCATTGATGATCTTACAATAACAACAGATACCCACATCCAAGCAAGATGGATACTAAAGGCTCTAGGAGAAACAGCATCATGGCCAAAAATGACCTTTTATCCTAGGAAGTCAAGATCTTGATAATATAGAAAGGGAAAGTTAGACAAACGAAACACTTGGAGATAAGGCCAACATTCAAAAAGAGAACAAGTCTCGTGATCTTGTGTACATGCAGGTACCACTCATGTCCCTTTTGTTAATAACAGCTACATGTATTTATTTTATACGTGTATTTAACATTTATTTGCATAAACAAGCATGCAGAAAACATACATTCATAATGTACATATAGTTATAGTAGTTATATGTATTTCAATATTTGCATGAAAATTGTTTCAATATATGCTTTACATAACTATTATAAAATTCCATAGCTTTTAAAATCTTGATGAATATAAAAATGAAAATATAAATAGTAGTATATGAACCTTAAAATGATATTAATACCAATTATAAAAGTCATTTATAACCAAAAACAGTTTGCTCAGTAGGTGCAAAAGAATATATAGAGACATCGTTAAGATTATAGTTTGGCACAAAAAGGTCAATAAAATCGTCGCCATCGACGTCTGCGAAGGCGATCTGTCCCACAGTTCCGCTTCCGGCGTCATGGAATGTGTTTTTAGTATACGTCCAGTCCAGGGCATTGTTACTGTTGGGTTCTAGGAAATAAGCTCGTCCGTCATCGTCACCAGATACAAGAATCATTGGTCGTGAACTGTAAAGAAAAGTATGATCAATTTATTCTAAAATATCAAATAGTATTTTTGGCGTATATTGTCGTCCTGAAATATTTTCTTTAACTTTAAGGCCGGTTCAGTAACATTCCATGTTTGATTTTTCGTAATTTCAATGTCTATAGTAATAAGAAAAAGTGTACAATAATAGTGTCTTCCTGTAATATCGAAATAAGTTTTTTTTAATTATGAGACATTATGCTTCCCCGTTTACATAACTAATCATTTTGTAACAAACCTTTTGTCAGAAGCACGAGGTCGAATACAGAATGCTGATCCAGGAGCACCTTTTCCTTGGCCTTTTGTTCTTGGAACAAAATTTGTTGCTATCGTGTGTCTTGGGAAATTGTCCGTTCTAAACATTTTTTAAAAAAGTAAATAGAAGAAAGTGTCATATATTTAGTAAAATTTATATAAAATTAAAACTAATTCCTTTCAAATTGACTGCCTTCCACTGTAGTTAAGCTTACCGGAAGTCCTTTGGAGTTTCATAAACCAACACACTTCCATTCATTCCATTGGAAACCACGAGGAGGTCTTTACGGCCATCACCATTGAGGTCATTGACCTCGATGTCAAATAAGGCACCGGCTGCTGCGTCCACTGTTCTGGAATGAACCTAATAAAGAAATATATAAATAAAACTTTAACCTCAATTTTTGTATAATTTGTAATCCAAAATTGAGCAAAAAGTAACTTTTCTGGTTCACTCTTCACAAAGACTATAACTAAAAAAATATCTTTTTATCATTTTGCAACGCAGATTGCTCTACCCAAAGGCCAATCGCATCATCTCGGGTCTTTCCGTCAGAGGATTTTTCCGCTGGTCGGAAAGGCCCGAGAAGTTGAGATGCCCAAAGGCGGGATCTATACATATACGTTAACAGATAAGAGAGAGAGACAGAAACCTTTGACAAATCATTCCATCTATTCATACTGTCTGTTGTCCAATGAATGGTAAGTTTCTTTGCAAAGAACTCAGACGTAATAATGACGTCATATTCCCCATCTGTCGTATTCAGCTTTATATTTCGAAAGTAAACATCGGGTCCATGTGTGATTACATGCTGTCTCCATGGAGATGTGTACTGATGACTGTCGGGGTTTTCTAGCCAGAGTAGTTCTGTATCTTTTGATGCTACAGTAGAATTACTTTGCAATCTTTGAAACAAGATATATCAAAATTGTTCAAAGTGTTCCTTATTTAACCAAAACAAAATTACTTAATATTGGGTGTACTGTTGAGATTGCAGTTGTACCGGAAAAAACAAAACTCGGTAGATGTAAACGAATAAACATGAATCTTTATTCTAAGAGTGTAAATTTTATTATTATTGCAAAAAGTTCTAATCGCTTATGTAAATATTTATGGATTTAAACTTGTAATCATTTTAGTATAATTCGAAACGTACAGAAAATTGAGAAAACTGGCTCTCTGGCCCTACACGTGACAATGTCTAAATCGCCATCACCATCCATGTCCTTCCATAGCACGCGGTGGTAGAACCATTTTCCCTCCGTGTGGTCCGTCAATTTGTACGGTCCCTTGGGGGTAGATCCGGATATATCGACAATATATATGTGGCCGTCGTCCTTAAACGGGACTAGAAAACCGTCAGGAATGACCACCATACGCTTCCCAAAGACGCTTTCTAAAGTAATCAAATTAAAGAATTTATATAAACAAGAGGCCCATGGGCCTTACAGGTCACCTGAGTATCATGTAACAACTTTCCAGCGATTGTATTTGGTTCGTGTTTTAATCCAAAAGCCATCAAATTCACAAATTTTGAAGGAGGCACCATTGCTTATCAAACGGCAGATTTCACAGCATTAATTCATTTTTAGTCAAAGTACCCCCCTGGTACCCCTTACCCAGCGGCCCTGAAATTACCTATTTTGAAAGAGGCCCCTTTCTTCATTATAAGGCCAGCATTTTTTTTTTTTATGTTTAGGTTTAGTTATGAACATGAGAATAAAAAAGTCCCGAAGGAGAAGGAAATAAAAAAAAATTTTGAAATAAATCAATTATTAACTTTTATACATTCTTTTTTATGCTATTCTAATAGGCTCCTTACCACTGGACACATAATGCTTACAAATAGGAAAGTAGAACATTCAATTGCTTATTTCATCATCTGCCAGTTTGGGCAGTTATATAAATTTTGTGATGTTGGTCAAATATATTTTAAAAAATCAATTCTTTAAAAGTCTTTCAATATATCTTCATTTTTTAAATATTTGTTAGGTGAATGTGTAGACATTGTTCTAAAATTTACTTGATGCCTAAAATTATAATTCCTATCATAAAACAGACAGGGAGTATTGGGGAGTAGGGTGAACATTTTTTCAATTAAGTGTAAAATAATTTTTCTGGCTGATACAAATGATACTACATGCCTGTATACATTTGTATATTCTTGCCTTTTAATAGTTGATTTTTTTTTTCTCCAGGTTATTGTTTATTTCTTCCTCAAATGGACCTAACTTCTCTCATAGTTTTATTCATTACATCTGATGCATAAGCAACCCTTTTCTGAAGAATGATGCTTAGACTATTATAACAGAGACCTAAACAATGTCGCTGGCAATATGCAATAGCTACCACGGGCAGTTTAAAACCTGGGGGAGGAAAATAATTTACAGACAGATACTTTTGAAACGAATACATAATTATCTCACCAGCATGTCATTGTGCAACAAAGTCGTCAGCATTTTATTTGTCCTTTGAACGGGTGAAACGTTTTGAATGGCACTCGTATCGATGAATTTTACACTAAACCAAGCTATCTTCTCAGATCTAGCTTTATTTACCCGCCATTTCATCTTAAAACCGGAAGTGCGAGTTCGTAAATTTGAAATCTCGATCCCGACTCAAATTTGACATCGGAAAGAAAAAAATTGTTTTGTTTTTTCTGAAAATTCAAAACCTTTAGCGGAGGGTTTGTAAAACTGAAAATAAAATAAATCCTGGCCTTAAATATGTAATTAGATCATTAGTATATTAACCAGGAGCAAAGGATTATTAAGATGTTCAAAGAATTCATGCATTTCACTATATAATCAATAGAGCCCCGCCCTAAAACAAGAACCCCTGACCCTGGGGCCATAAAATTCACAATTTTGGTAGAAGCACTCTTGTTCATCATAACTATGTACTTAGTTAGTTTATTTAATACCCAAGAGCAGAGAAGAAGATTTTCAAAGAATTCATGTATTTTCACTATATAATCAATAGAGCCCCGCCCTAACACCAGAACCCCTGACCCTGGGGCCATAAAATTCACAATTTTGGTAGAGGCACTCTTGCTCATCATAACTATGTACTTAGTTGGTTTATTTAATACCCAGGAGTAGAGAAGAAGATTTTCAAAGAAATAATGCATTTTCACTACCTACTTATTTAGCCCCGCCCTAGCACTAGAACCCCTGCCCCCAGGGCCATGAATTTCACAATTTTGGTAGAGGACTCATTGCTGATTACAATCATGCAAACAGTTTGACTGCTTGATGTCCAGGAGTAAAGAAGAAGATTTTTAAAGATTGCATTAATTTTAGTGGTTTTGGCCCCACCCCTCAGGCCCCAGGGGGGCAGGGACCATGAAATTCACAATTTTTGTTCCCCTTCTCCCATAGATGCTTTATGCCAAATTTGGTTGAAATTGGTTCAGTGGTTGCAGAGAAGAAGCTGAAAATGTTCAAATGTTAACGCACGACGGACGACGCACGACGACGGACGAAAACAGATAGCAATAGGTCACCTGAGTTTACTCAGGTGACCTAAAAATGGAATAGTTGCATGCATAGTGTAGACTTTTTGTATTACAAAAAATGCGTGATAATTAAACTTGAATACTCCTTTAACATTAATAATTTCTCTGAACAGTTGTTCATAAATAATTTAACTGTACTGAATCATTACATTTAACTTAGAGCATATGAAATTGCTTCTATATATCCTCATGATAAGTAATAAAAGTCCATATCTCGCGTTTTTCGTTTTCATCTAAAACAATAAAATTATTGTATCATGTTTCTGAAATCTTCCAGATGTAGCAACTTTTACTGCATTACAGTTATGAATGAATAATCTATTTTGCTAAGGAGTCTTAAAACAGTCAAACCTGGTACTCCGGCCACCTCATTGGGCCACGACATTCGATCGGCAAGAACTTCTTTCTGAACACTCCCGAGATTTTTGATCTGCTGTCCTATTCCACGGTAAAGACTGACGGTCCCTGAAACAAATGGGTTTCCAGAAAACGTTGACAGAAGCAAGTCATATTTTTCACTTGGAGATCGAGCATTTGGATTTTCGTATACATTAGCAAATGCCGCCGAATTTAGAGGAATTTTTCCAAGTTCGCGTACACCATCACAAGAGGACAGAAGAATCATAAACGCAACAATGGAATTCCAAGACATTTTCATCAAAACAAATGTCAAGTATATATACTGAATAAGAAAAAGCGTGTATCTTTCGATAGAGTGGTCAGTTCTGTTTAAAAGTTCGACCTTTCATACACATGGATAAATAAATAAAACCTGCGTTGGTTCCAACGTGAGAGTTTCACTTACTAGATAAGAAACGACCTTCATTGTGTAAGGCTAACTTGGTGCTTTAGATACACAACAACTCACGTGTTGAATGAGCTTTTTTTTTTTTTACACAGCTATTATAATTAATGAATCGGCATGAATTGATCCATTTAAGGTAGTACAAAACACTCATTTCTTAAAGAGTACTGGAGAAAAAAAAAGAATATTACTATATTGACAACAATGAATGATCCCTGTAGAAAAACATAAAGTTGTGGCATCTTTTCGTCATATTTTATGAAAAAAAAATCAGAGAATCCTATATATTGTTCACTTGGGAGCTTACATTTTAAAATGCGTTTACGTTATCTAAATGCCATAATCAAGCACATAACAGTCTGTTATTAAATTAATATAGCGTAACTTTTGTTCAACAAATAGTGGAGGACTGATATTTGGACACATATATGACGAGTTTCCATTCTTTATGTACTTTAAAGGTCTAGATCATATTAAGAGGTCAAACATTGTGACGTCATTTACTGAATCTTATAGGGTTATTTTGCCATTGATTTTTTTTAAACGCCAAAATATCTGAAACCACTGGTTCAATTTTCTTTATTTTTACACATTTTATTCTGGGACCCATTTAAATAATTCTGTGATTTTTTTTTTTTGAAATTGAATTATACATTTTCTCGTAAGACAACTTAAAATGTAGGATATTTACATGTAAAATTTCAATTCCGCCGATATGTAGTTATAGTTTCACGTAATATCTAACTAAGTCAATATAACTAACAGAGTTTAAGTAACAACAAGGTTATCTCTATAAAGAGTATTACACAAAATTGCAATAGATCAATTGATAATTTTCAAATAAGGCTTATACATGCATGTTATACTAAAGTCGAATTTCTGATTTCACAATCTTCTTACGGGGGTCAGATAGGCCATATATCAAACTGTTTGGGCAAAAATGCGCGGTTGAATATATTTCACATTACATATAAATAGAGATTTGTATCTTATCAGTTAAACTTTCAGAAAAATTGAATTTGAGGAAAAATTTGGCCTATCTATTGTGGTCTACCTTAATATTTATATCATAATCAAACTTTTAACATATACTTACAGAAATCGATTCAAAGAATATGTTAGAAAGGGGGTAGAGCTAAGAAAATTTGATGAACTGGATTTGAAAAATTTTAATTTATCTTTAACGAAAATTTCTTGGGAACCTAGAATTTGCATAACGGGCGAAACTCTACTCACTAGACAGTGATTCCTATATGGATAAATTTTATTTTGTAATATGGCGTCCTCATGCCGCTTATTGCTGGTACAGACAGTCACTACATGTAGGTGCGATGAAGATTTAAAAAAAAAACTGAGTATCATGTAACAACAATTGCATTGCTTCGTTTTTTAAACCAAAGGCCATGAAATTCACAATTCGAAAGAGGTGCCATTGCTTTAATATTGTAACTATACACTTCGCTTTATTACTTTGGTTACTTAATTAATACCCAGAGGTAGATCACATTAACAAAGAGAAAATGCGTTTTCAGTTTTATAATCAGTTGTGCACCCCATCCAACAGGAACCACTGACCTTGGGGGCACATATTTTAAAATTCTGGAAAGAGCTCGGTTCACTTTATGCTTAGAATGGCCCTGTTGATATACTAATTGATTGATTAACACTTGATATTCCATTTAAAGCATTAAAATAAAATAGAGACATGGTGCTTTCATTTCCTAATAATTTTTTTCTCCTAAAAGTCCAGGTCTTGGAGAACTGGCTACATGAAATTGCAATGATCTTGAATTTTTAGGTAGTACTTTCAGTGAAGAAAAATAATATGAGCGCACTCTCTGATCTAAAAAATAACACATGTCATTTAATCCTCAGAAACAGTTCTATCATTTACTAGTTGCAAATTTTAGATCAGAGGTTGTGCTCTATATCAAATATCGAAAGATAGCTTTAAAATTGGCCGTTTTTGTGGACTTCTTCGGAATATGAGGAAAATGACGCATTTCATGACGTCATAATGCTTTGACTAACCAGAAATTACGTCATTTCTTATAAATACGCAATCACCAAAGGTCTATGCGATATTCAATGCATTGCTAACTAAAACAAAGCAGTTTTAGGACCAAAAAAGGGAAAAGTGAACTTTGTTCTTCTATCATACATGTTATTTTCATCATAAATGGTTGGTAAATACCAAAAGAGCAGATTTCAAAACATTTATTTATTTTCAGACTACATAACCACTAATTTTAGTGGATTTAGCCCCACTGCGTAGGGGGGGGGGGGTCACGATTTTGTTCCCTTCACCCATAGATGCTTTATGCCAAAATTGGTTGAATGGTTGCAGAGAAGAAGCTGAAAATGTTCAAATGTTAACGCACGACGACAATTACTCAGGTGACCTAAAAAAGGGATTGAGGTATAATATAAAAAAGAAGTCCATGGGCCACTATGCTCACCTTCAATTCTGTGGCCCTGCTTTCTTCACTACCTTTTCATATTTGTTGAGATCATAGCCAATCCCTTGGGGTTAGGACTTGAATTAGATATGACTTTTATTAGAATATATACTACCTCAGGATGCTTCCACATAAGACGAAGGACGAACAAATTTTGATCAGAATAGACCACTTCAGCTGTAAGCTCGGGTGAACTAAAAGTTAAACATTGTATAGAACCATGGACCTTCAGAGATCCTAAATTTATTGACTTCAATGATCGACGCGTCTATTTTAGTAGTCTGGTTCTCTGTCCCTGGTATGCTTTATATACTTCCCGACATTAGGCAAGGATGAGGCAAGGGACCAGGCTACAATACAAGCAACTCCAATACAAGTGTAGTATCGTTCAACCACATACTCGCGTGCTTCCGTAATTCTTACGCGCAGTCGTCAATTTACGGGGACAACCGAGTGTCTGGTTGGACGAGAGCAATATTTCCATGAAAAAGACCTCTCACCAATTGTCATTAAGGAGGCTGGGGTGTGGCAGCCATTTTCAGACTATTTTTATCTCCTTTAAAAGGAGAGCTCCATATGAAGATATAGAAAATGCTCAAATTTTAAAATTAAAATGTATGAATTTTTTCTTTGTGAAATGAAAGTAGACAGCTTAAATTACCGTATTTATAAAAATAAGTTAAATCTGGTGGTTAATTTGTGATTAATTTGTTGACCCTCCAGCCTCCTTAATTACTCATTCATGATCTGAATATCACTTGTTATGCAGATTAGAATATATATGATAGTTTTGAATTGTATATTGGTTTACTGCATATTAATAGGAACTTTGTGTGGGTAGAAACAAACACAACCAAGTTTTACAGAGGATCCAAAGAGCATAATTGGCACTTACTTCGAACTCCGTTCCCCATCTCCTCGGCTTTGATGCGATAAATTGAGAAGATGCACTTCCGATACTGCTATTCTATTTTTTTGGTCCTATCCTGCTATTTTGATTCTTGACGGAACATAAAAAAATTTAAAAAAAAAGTCCAGAGGATTTGATACATCATGCCTAAACATCGGCCGCTAGTCACAGTCAATCCAATGGTTGTGGTTATCGCGACGGGCTATAAAATGTCAGTAGTTGGATCATTTCTTTGCTGATGGAAAGAGCAATGATGCGGCGATCATGAGAACTATCGTGTTAGAAACCAACGCTGATGACATCTATGCTTGGTTGAAGGAAGGTGATATATGAATTCTCGACGGTGGGGTCAAGAGACAAAGGGTGACGTTACATATATAAATAGACGCGTGTGTGTCGGTTAGAGCATCCTCTGTAGAATCGCAAAGCATGGATGCTTCTACGTCGCGGGTTCGAATACCACCGTAGGACGTGGATATTGGTCCTTCGATTGAGACCATATAATCTGAGGTCTCTGGAAACTTTTTCATATGGAAACGCCACCACTTGCCGGAAAAGAGCTGCAAATTTTGTCCTATACTCGACACGCACGGCCATCGAGCAGGGAGTGATCTTTATTGTGCCAGCACTTACGGCGACAAGGGACCTCGGTTTATACGTTCTCATCCGAAGGACCGGTCTCCACGTCCCACGGTGGGACGAACCCCTTCCTCTGGAGTAGACACTCTTCCCACTGCGCCACGCGGGCGACGATCCATCTTTGAAGAAGTTTGTAGAGACTCATTTATAAAAAATGGAATTTGCTCTGAAAAAATTTGCAGTTGAAACAACTTGCCAGAAATTGATTTTCATCGACAAACCAGGGTCTGTAAAGAGAAGAGAGGAAGAGGGCATCGTTATGAGGATAGATTATGAAGACTGTTACCCTTTAGAAGATGTTTATTATGGAAAAAGGGACTTAAAGGGTACACCAACAGCGTGGCGCATTGGTTAGAGCGTCGGCTCCAGAGTCGTGAAGTAAAGAGATGATCCTTAATGATGAGACCGTATAAATCGAGGTCCAATGTCGCAGTAGGTGCTGGCACGAAAAAGATTCCTCACTGCTCAATGACATTTAGTGCCGAGAATTGATAAAAATTTGTGGCTCTCCGGCAAGTTAGTGGTGGCGTCTCCATATGAGTGAAAAATTCTCGAGAGGGGCGTTAAACAACATGCAATCAATCAGTCTATCTACACCACCCTATTGATTATGATGAATCTCAATGCAATACTATGATCTATATAACCTCAATGTAACGAGTCTTTTTCCATTATGATACTCAGAATGATTAGATCCTGATTCAATATTGGGTAAATCCATTCAACGAAAGACACTAACATTGAAGCCATATAAATAAGAAAAAAATTCAAGAGAGATTTCGATATGATATCCCACAGTCAAGAGAGATTAAAAAGGAAAATCCAACTATATGCTATTAATAGGGGGACAAGATACATCAGGAAATCATCAAGCTCAGATTTTAATTATTTAATAATTTGATAATTGATCTTGTTTTTAAAATACCTACGCCACTCAAACATCTAATATCGATTTCTAGGAACATCACGAA